ATTGGAAAAGGTTAATACTGAAGGGTTGCAAATTTGATAAGGCAGTAAAAAAAATTAATTTATGTTATGGAACAAATTAATCTTTTCTACTTGCCACTGCATTTGTATTTTTTTTTTTTGCAATATATATTAAAAAAAAAAAAGGTTTACCAAGCAAGCTATTTAATATTAATATTTAGTTAATCGATGTTTACTGCTCCTGAGAAGAAAAAAAATCTGTCATTTTGTCCTGTTTTTGTTTTATTATTATTGCTTTGTTATTATATTAAAATACTTACAAATAAATTCGTGCATGTGCCGCCGCTCACTCACCGCGACGTTTAACTTAAAATCTTGTTCTTTAAACAGTGTCTTTATTGAAACACATCCTGGATTGTGTATCAACCAATATTGAAATGAAAAAATCACCTTTACCTTGTTTTTATTCTTTAAAGATAACAACCAAATTTACCATCTATCTGTCCGTTCGTCTCTCTTTAAAATATTAATATGTTTGTCAGATATTGTTTATTTCTTGTATACGACAGTAAATAATTTTATTTAGAAAATCAATCTTCATTCATTCATTTGATCTTTTTTTTTTTTTGAAATCTATAATAATAGATAATTGTCAAGTGAAAACAATTGTATTTAAGATGAATAAAAGTATGAATTTTTGTATGAAAATTATCACCTCAGAAGTTAAAGATTGTTTGGCTAATACTAATAAAAATGGGCATGGACACCAAACAAGATCTTTTGTTTTGCAGATCTTCTATGTCATATTAATATGCTGGCTGAATTCTTTTTTGTTTGTCCATGCCCATATACAAAATTTTTCAGATTAGATTTGTCACCTCTAAAAAAAGTGAAAATTCTATCTTGATTCATATTTATTTTATTTTTGATTTATTAATTGGAAAAAATCATCTTGTTATAAACAATCAAAACAATTAGATGCTGTTATAAAGATTTATATAATTGTCATTACATTAACACACATCAGTGCTTCCAATTCTAATTCTAATAATAATAAATAATTTGTCTATGAAAAATATTGAAATTGCAATCCAACTGATTTTATTGGTGATAATCTTGAACTGAGATCTGCGATTACACCTAAACTAAACAAAATATTTCCATATCTACCTTCCCACAATAATTTAGCATTCTATTAAATACATTAACATACACATATTATAAATAAATAAACAATAATCAGTAAAACTAATATAATAATGACAATGTTACGAAAAGATTGTTTTATTTAAAAGAAACCTTTGATGTTCCAATTGTAGCTTTAACTACACCATTAATATCACTTAGTTGTTTACTAATTTCATTGCTCAAGTTATTTCTTTCATCTGCTTTTTTTCCTTGCCACCATTCACCTCCAATCATCAAATCACTTTCATAACTATACATATTAAAATCAAATCTAGGACAAAGTGTCAAAACATCAGAAACTTGTGTGACATAAGCAGCTGACATATGTCCCATTATTGGATTAATTATATAAGTTACAGTGACAGGTGTTTGGTTAAAATATTGAGGAAGAGTTCGATAACGAATTCCAACTGAAACTATATATATATATATTAAAAGCAAATGGATAAATAATATTTAACTTTTGATGTTCAGAAATGAAAAATTTTATCTAAAAAGTAAATGATTCAGCTGTTGCACACACCTCCACTTTTTTCTCTTACCCCATAATATAATTCACCACCAATTGACCATACTCCCTTTAATGCTTCAACTTCATCAACTTCATCAATATCAGATGATTTTTCAATAACTTTTTCTTCAACATGAGATTCTTTAGTGTCCTTTTCTTTTTCTGATAAATCTTCTTGAACTTCTTCAATGACTTCTTTTTCTTCTGAATTATGGCCTGAAAAATTGTATAAACCTCTAATACCAAACAATTCTCCATCAGTTGTATAAGAGAATTCATTACACCATTTTCCCGTGTTGTATTGAAGTTCTGCAGTAAGCTTAATTTTTTAAATGTTTGATTAAAGTCATACCCATAACTAACAAATAAAAGATTATCAAAAATTTGTATTAGATGAGTAAATTCATTTAACCAAAATTACATGTGAGTCAGATTTTATCCTAAGATCATTAACACTTGTGATTACACACTGTATTCTTGATGAAAATCTTTTAGAATAAATAGCTTCAAGTCGTGTTGTGGGGATATGTAATCTTCCATATAACAAATAATCTAAATATATTTATATATATTTTTAGAAAAAATAGCAGGATAATTTTAATAAACCTTTAATATTATTATTAATTATTTAATTAATATCCTATTTTAAATTTTTTTAAAAATTCAGAGGAAAAGTTTACCCTTAATTGGTCGAATTTCTTTTTCATTATTTGTATTTATACTTGGAATATAATTGACCTTAAGTCGGTCAATTATCTCTGTAAATTTTAAATGACTGTTTAAATCAATAATTAAAGGACGAGAAGTAAATAAAAATCCCAAAGATCCATTTAGTATTGGTGATGCATTTAATGAATATGAAGACTTAAAAAGTGACGTTTGGATTTTTGATATTGCAAAAGCAAAACCTTGGGGTATTTGAAAATCCAAAATAGCTATCAAAAAAAAAAATTTTTTTTTTGACGATTAATTAAAATTGATATTTCCTCTAAAGATATCACGATAACAACATAAATACATCATATAAGATTCTTACATTAAATCCATAAAGCTCACCTCGAGAATCAGCACATAAATTTGAATATTGGTTGTCATCATTCCAATCAGTAGCTTTAAAATATTGACAAAGACAATATTCCATAAAATCATGCATTTTTTAATAAATAAAAAAAAGCGATAGATCAAATCTAAGCCAAATTCCACCATTCATTGGTCACTTTGGTTCCATGACAGTCAGCTGACTATATTTGAAAAAAGGATTATTCACAACACCCACTTGATTACATACATGGATACATATAAACAATACATCAAAATTATCTTTTCAAAATGTTGAGTAAATGTTGTTTTTGCATTGATTTTGACAAAGAAAACTTTCTTGTTATAAAATTTGATTAGTTAGTTATATATATATATATAATTCTTTGTTGAAAAGTTATGGTATATATGAGAATTAATAGAAGACAACATTAAAATAATTGACGAATTAGAAACATCATTCATTCTAAAGATACTTATTCATCATCTACATCTGATACTTCAGACGTTTCGTATACTTTTGGTACATCAAATTAAGGAATGCAGGAGAATGTATGGTTGTGGGTATCTATCTATTGCTCGTTTTATAGGTAAATAATATAATTCTTTAACTAAGTTACATGACTTGTTCACGAAGTTTAGTTACAAACAAGTTTGTCTAGAATGATAAATTATGGTATAAATTGTAATTTAATTCTGGTATGTATTACAATAAACATAATTCTGCCCAACTTATAAATGTAAATTCATCGTCATTCTGACCTTCGACTTATTCGTCGAACTTTCTCTACCACAACGCCAAATCCCAAAATTCAAAGTAGACTATTTCAGACAAATCGCGCAGCAGAACAATAAGTGATATGTCGAAACGATGTCTTCAAACTTTCAAATTTTTGTTTTGATGGTGGTGTCGATGGATGGATGGATGGATGATATAGACGCCAATTTTGGGATTAACGTAGTAAACTTGTACCTTATTCAAATCATAGATGGAAAGGCCTTTGGAATCAAAAGTATGATTTATTTTTTTTTGGGAAAATTAAAAAATCTAAAAAGTTCAGGGACTAGATGACTTGCACTGTACAAAGCAGTTTTGACGCAATCTGAAGTAACTTGAAATTTGATTAACAAAATTTTCTTATTATTTATTGTAAACGTTTATTTAAGAAAACCAAAGTTTATTTTTTCTTGATTTGTCAATCCAAATCGAATTGTGACTTGAAATATTTATCCACTCTTCTCCTTCAAAACACTACACAAAATTAACGTGATAGTGATTTATTTGTAATGATCAATCTTCCGTAGCTAAAATAAATATTAATATGTAAATGACATCATTAACATTAATTGCACGCGTTTAAATTTTTTAATTGAATTGGAAATATTTAGGTGAAAAATTTGGTAAATTATATACAAGTGAAGGAAGAATTTAAAAAGAAATAGTTTATCCTTTCAATAAAGTAAAACAGATAAGAGAAAAAAATTCCTTATTAATTTTCTTGTAAAATAAAAAGTCTGGTGCTCAAAATGAGGTTTGAATTCTGAGGTACACAAGTACACACACAGATAATAACCTTGACAAGTTGGTCACGAGTAGCTGGTGTGGTTGACCAAATTATCGAGTGCCATCAAAACACGTGATTTTGAAAGTTTTTTTTAAAAAAATTTACAATTGTTATTATTGCTGTATTGTACATAAATAAATCATTATGAAGGATTGAAACCTGTGAGGGCCCTGGTTCTATGAGATTATCACAACAAACTTCATCCGTTTGTTTACTTGGTCGACTTATCGTAATAGGTTATAGAGTCAAAAAATTAATATATATACACACGGTGAATCTCGGTTTAACTGATAGTTTGGCAATTTGTATTAGTATTAGTATTAGAGAAAAATCCATTATATCGAGAATGTTTTATTATGGAACCGAGATTTTTAATTAGTATCCGCTAAATCGAGGTATGCTAAACCGAGATCCACTATGTATTTTGGCCGAGTTAGACAAAGCCGACTTAAAAAATATGTTTAAAATTAGTATATTTCATGCCTCAAATTGGAATTTCTTGACGAATCCGATAAGAAACATTGAATAGAAAATAGAGGAATATCCTACGTGCCTTAAACAAGGTGTAAACATAGAAGAGCTCAAATACTCTCAATAAATAAATATAAGCAAAGCAGATCTGATCATTTAAGGTTTCGAATGAAGCTGATGTTGGTAGGTAACTTTCGGGGCTGTCTAACGTTCAAGTCTTCGAGTTTACCTGGTATCAATGTAGGTATTGGAACGTATCTTTCCTAGGATTCTCGACCTGATCGGAACTGGGAAGAAAAGTGGAGAGATGAACAATTGAAGAATCAAAGAGACACTGCTGGCATCTCGATACATTTATGCAATCTAAAATTTAATGTTAGTTCTCTTGGAACTGGAATAATCTTACCTCGAGATTTGTTGAAGAAAAGGGGTTTCTTACCCCGGCACAAATCTCTAGCTTTAAAGGTGATTATCTTCGTAATAGCTAGAAAGATCATTAGTTACAGATAATACAGCTAATAATGATGATGCTTTCTAAGTGTATCAGATAATTTAAGAAAGGTCAATAAACAACTGACGATAATGATGATGATGAGATTTATAAAGATGTTGATTTGGAAAAGTATTCATCCGTCGATGATCTATTTTCAATCCCAACACATGTTCGAGCTGTTATGCATAGAAGTGAACATTTGAAAGAAGTGTTGGATTAACTTAAATAATAGATATGAAAAAAATTAAAAGCGAGAGAACTCGTAATAATGACTTAACTAATTCTAAATTCGTTAGAAGTGTCGACTCTATTTACATGCATGCGCACAATCAGGATACTTTATCTTTATTTCGGCTTTACAAAGCGGTGTGTATACCGCACCATGGTGAAGAAGGTGAAAAACAACATTACACTGATATTTTTAACATGATGTAAATATATCAAGAGAAATTTAAAATTACCAAGAATAAAAAATAACCAACCCGATGACAATTTCTTGTTACATCTTTCACTACATTTGTATTTACTCTAGTCTTGATTAACGTGACTCTAAACATACATTAACAGAAGGGTGTCCTTATCATTGAAATTCTTGGAAATTAATAATCATATTATTTTAAAGAATGATTTTATTTTTTAATGAAATTTTTTTTTTACAATATTAAATTGGAAAATGCTGTATAAAATTTACAATAATTTAAAGTTTTTAATTTAAAATAAATTTTAGAAAAAGAAAATTGTCATCAATTCATTCAATAAGCCCATAAGGAATTATAGGCACTTTAATCAAATTAAATAATTTAGACATGCTATTCTCTTTGCCTTCTCTTATGAAAGAAAATACTTTACCATTACGACCCATTCTGCCAGTTCTACCTGACATGTGTAAATATTCACTTGCTGATGAAGGTAATCCCAAGATGAAAACGTGTGATAGCCATGGAATATCAATACCTCTTGCTAAATATTCTGGTGCAACATATAAAATTTGACGTTCTTGTTCACTTTTTAAACCTGGTAAAAATGGCGATGATTTTTCCATTCCAATATCTTTAATAAACTTAGTATCTTTGCCATCTTGAAGTTTTTCATTCGAGGAGGAGGATGAAGAAGAAGATGAAGATGATGATGATGATAATGATGATGATGCCAATTCCATTGCAGGTATATTAAAATCTTTGTCTAGTTTTTCAACTACTTTCGGTATATTAAATTTATTGTTAAGAAACAATATACCAGCTTTAACATTATCCGATTCAAAAACACCAGCAACGCTATCCAACATTAAATCATCGTCATCATCAAATGATTGAATTCTTTCTGAAATATTATAGCCATTATTATTATATCTATTTATTTGGTAATTATAAGACATTAAATTTTTAATTTGTTTTGAATTAATAACTAGGCAATGATGTGAAACTGTTGGCGTAAATGTGTTAGTTTGATTTATGTTAATATCTTCAGGTTTAGTAACATATTTATTTTCTGTGAAATAATGTTTGAGTGCATGATTAATGGTAGCAGATGACACGATCACCTGTGGCTTATTTTCAGAAGAAACCTCATTGTCCAGTAATGAAAAAAGTTTTTTCATTATTAATTCAGCTGGTTTGGGATGATTTATTCTGGATCGAATTTTTTTTATTGGTGCATGTTTTCCGGGCAATCTAATCAAGTGATCAGCTTCATCTAGCACGATAGTTTTTACACCTTGAAAATCTATCAAGTAATCTTCCATATTCATAATATCATGTAATCTAGTTGCTGTACATACAAGAATATGAGGTTTTTTTTCTTTCAAAAGCTTTAATTGAGCAATTTCTTCTTCAGCATCAGTTGATTTAACAACAGTTTGAACAATTAAATTCATTGGAAGATTTTCATGACCTAACAATTGATAAATCCAAGATTCAATTTGATATGCTAATTCACGACTTGGTACCATAAAAATACTGGTTATTAATGGTGTTTGTATTACATGATTTTCTTTGTTATTGATATGAAAAGATCTGTTTTTGTTAAGTAAAGCTAAAACAATTCCAAAAGTTTTACCAGATCCAGTAGAATCTTTAACAAATAAATCATGACCTCGAGAAATTTTTGGAATGATTAAATTTTGACATCTTGTTGGTGTTATAATGTTGAAGTTAGCTTTTAAAGAATCACAAATTGCTTTGCGTAATCCTAGTTTATACATGTGTGGCAAAACTAAATTATTTTAGCTGTGATTTATTGCTAGTTATACTTTACAAAAAAAAAAATATACATCTATTATTAATTATTATTGCAAAAATTTGATCTACATGTTTATGTGATACATAAATTTTTGCTATTTGTTTGATTTTCCCTATGTTTGTGATTAATATTTAACACCCCCAATGGATAAAGAAACAGATCCTGCTCAAAACGATATTTCTTTAGAAATTTCTGAAGACATTCAAAAAGACAACCAGCAACAACAAAATCAAGAACCAATTGATATAGCTATTGATAATAAAGAAGCAATCCTTGATAACAATGCTTCTTTAGAAAATTCCGATAACATACAAGCAGATGCACAACAACAACAACAACAAAATCAAGAATCAATTGATATAGCTATTGATAATAAAGAAGCAATCCTTGATAACGATGTTTCCTTAGAAAATTCTGACAACACGCAAGCAGATGCACAACAACATGAACAACAACACCAACAACAAAATCAAGATTCAATTGATATAACCATCGATAATAAAGAAATAATTCTTGATAATGATGTTACCTTAGAAAATTCTGACGACATGCAAGCAGATGTACAACAACAACAGCAGCAGCAGGAACCACAACAGCAGCAGGAACCACAGCAGCAGCAGGAACCACAACAGCAACAACAAAGTCAAGAATCAATTGATGAAGCTATTGACAGTGAGGAAGTAACTATTGATAATAAGGTTTCTTTAGAAAATTCTGACGACATGCAAGCAGATACAGAACAGCAACAGAATCAACAGCAACAAGAGCAACAGCAACAAGAAGAATCAAATGATGTGGCCATTAATTATAAAAATGATTCTTTTGGTGCACCTCTCACTGTAGGAGGAAGTGGGACAGTTGAATTTAGTGATGCAATGGCAAAAGTAAAAGCCATAGCAGCCAAATTGCTTGTTAATGCTTCTGCTAGTACTGGAGAAAATAATATAGTTCAAACACATGACAACAACATTGATCTAACGTCAAATACTAAAACTATGAATATTCCAACAAACAATATGAATAACGCAGACAAAAATCTAAACAGTAAGTTTTCCTAATGACTTTATTTGTTGCGTAGTTCCTTATTTTTATTTATTATATTATCACTATAATTGATTTTTCAGCATCTCAACAAGGACTTAAACGTTCACATGAAGATACTTACAGTTCTCACGAGCCTAGAAGTACTCATGACGATGATTATCGTGACGATTATCGAAGAGATTCATACAGAGGACGTGAAAGAAGATACGAAGATTATGGAAGGGACTCTAAAAGAGCTGCTTATGATGGTGGAGTATACCCCGAATGTAATTATTTTTTTTTCCTCAAGAATTGATTAAAAGTATTTGGTTCAAATCGTTTAATTTTTGAATGTTATTACATATTATAATATATAGATGATAGTGGCAGTGGCGTTGGCGGCGGTGGTAGCAGACATCGTTATGGTTTAGGAAGTGAGGAACGAAGGTCGCTCCATAATCCTCATTATGGGCCTGGAAATGACACACGTTCTATGTCAGTTGAGGAATTTAAAGTTCCTAATGCAGTGGTGGGTTTAGTAATTGGTCGTGGAGGAGAAAACTTGAAAAGAATTGAAAAAACGACAGGTGCAAGGATTCAATTTTCTCAAGGTTTGGCAAATATATAATATATATATTTTTTTGTATAACTATTCATTGTATAAATATATAATATTATATTATATATATATATATATATATATATATCAAAAGATCAACCTCCTGATGTGGTTGAAAGACATGTCACTGTTACTGGATTAGCTGATGATGTGAAAGTTGCTAGGGTAATGATTCAACAGCTAGTTGATGATGCTAGAAATGGTACTTTGGTTAATCGTCGTGATTCTAACACTCCTTCAAATGCTGCTGCTAATGCTACTGCCGCACACGGACAAAATCGGAATACTGTAACCGTTCAAATTCCAAGCAATAAAGTTGGAGTTGTTATTGGTCGTGGTGGTGAAACAATACGCGATTTACAAGACAGAAGTGGTGCACGTATTAATGTTACTCCAGACAGTGCAGCAAGTCCTCAATCTAATGAACGACCTGTAACTTTGATTGGAGATGAAGCGGCAATTCAAAGGGCAAAGGCTCTTATTGATGAGATTGTTACTAATGGAGATGGTGTGTTGAAGGTACATGTGTTTATAATTAATTGACTGTTTCTTTTTGGAGTTGTATTTATCATTATTATTTATCTATTTTAATTGCCAAATTTTTTATAATAAACTTAAATAATTGCTTAAAATTTTTATTAGAATAATCATCATAAAGATTACCGTTCCAACAACTACAATAGTGGAACTAGCGCTTACAATAATGAAAAAAGTCACGGAGGAGGTTATGGACATTATGGGTCAGGTTCCGGACAATATGGTGGTAGTGGTGGCGGCGGTGGTGGTGCATTAGGTAAGTCGAATCAAGAAAGTATCACCATCCAAGTACCTAATGATTCGGTTGGATTAATTATTGGAAAAGGTACGTTTTAAAAAAAACAAAATAGTGCAATAATGTAAATGCTAAATCATAATTAGAATTAAGTTTGTAAAAATTAAAAATCCTTTATATAGGAGGAGAAACTGTTAGAGCTCTTCAACAACAATCAGGAGCAAAAATTCAAATTGAACCTGTTCACGGAGTTCCACCTTTGGAAAGAAATGTACAAATCATAGGTAAGTCAACATTAATGACTACATATATAACACTATCTGATTGCTTATATTTTGTACGTCGTTTGCATAAAGTGTTGTGAATTCAATATCAGTTTTGCTCGATATGTTTTTGTTTATGATGTTTGATGATTGTTATAGGTTCTGCTGAAAATATTTCTGTCGCGAAATCATTGATTCTTGAAAAAGCTGCATCTGGAAATGTACTGTCATTTGTAATTGCTTGTTGAGTGTGATTGCTATCGTTTTTTTATTTTTATTTTTATTTTTTTTTGTTTAGAGCCATTGTTAATCTATGTTATTTAATGACCCATTGTCATTTCTACCTGTTTTTGATGATTATGTCACAATTTTTTTTTGCATATTGTTCGTTTTTTATGCATTTTCCAACTTTTCTTTAATAGCGTGAACGGCCATCTCGTAACAACAATGAACATGGAAAAAGGTATGTAGGAGAGATATCATATAGTTTGCAGCTTTTATGATAATCATAATAACTTTCTGGGGGTTCGACTTTTTTTTTTAGCGGACACCAACAAAACAATTATCAAAAAAATAATAACTACCAACAACAGAGTAGTTATCAACAAAATGGCTATCAACAAGGAAACTATCAACAAAATACAACAAGTACTAACACTGCTAGTAATAATAACAACATGGGTATTTATCAGCAACAGACCTATCCTACTGCCACAAATGTTTATCCTACTCAACCACAGCAAAATACTACATATGTTCAAGGCATTACAAGTGATTATACTCAAACACCTTCTACCACTTATCCTGCTTCTACCACTGCGTATGTTACACCCAGCGGTCAGCAGGCAACAATGGCATATACTCAATACGGGCAGTATAATCCTAATCAATCGACAACAACGACACCTTATCAATACCCCACCCAACCACAATACGGAGGGTATGGTCAAGCTATACAATACGCTCAGCCCACAGCTGTTCAATCAACCAATCAACCTACTACACAAATTGCTATGCAAGCTGTTAGTCAGCCTGCAACTCAACAACCTACAGGACAACCACAAGGTAAACTATTTTAATATAGTGTGACATTTATATAGTTATTAAATTGAATAAATTTTAATTTTATTATTATAGTCAATTATTATCAAACTCAGATAGCCCCTGTTGATACTACAAAAGTTGCAACAACAGGAGCAGATAATAAAACAGACAATGCAGTAGCCCCTGCATCCAATTACGGGTATCAAACATATCCTTATAATTATAATGCTTCTTCAGCTACAGCAACTGCAATTCAATATGCAACTGCCGCTGGACAAAATCAAACTGTTTATCCAATAACTGCTTCGACTGTCGCACCTTATGGCAGCACTACTGCTAACACTAAAGCTCCTACAACTAATAGTGCAACCACGCCTGGGACCACTGATCAATCTACCCAACAAAATGCCACGGCCACTTACACAGGATATTATGGTCAACAATATCCGCAAGATCAATATCCTCAACAACAACAACAGCAGCAGCAGCAGCCACAACAGCAGCCACAACAGCAATATTATCAATATTATCAACAACAACAGCAGCAGCAGCAGCAACAGCAGCAGCAGCAGCAGCAACAACAACCATACATTTACTCAAATCCACAAACTACCAATCATCTTGGCGAGACTCCAAAGCAATAAATTTTTAAAAATCCAAAATTTATATATAAATATTTTTTGTGTTTCTTTCATTGGGTTATATATATAATTAATATTTTTTTAAAAAAATTCCCCCAGTTTTTGATTTATAATAACATCAATATTACAGGTTACAAAAAATTTTCAATAAATGATAGTTTAGAATATATTAAAAGATTTATTTATAATATTTATTAAAACAAGTTTAAAAAAAAATCGAAGACCGTTAATTAATTATATTGATTTTTATTAATAAAAATTGATGATAAAGAATGAAGAATCATCTCCCATCGCTACTGTTATTAACATCTTTTTGGTAACTTTCCTATAAGTTTAACAATAACAGGTGTTGGTTGATAATGAAAATTCATTTATTTTGTTAAAATTTAGGTTTTGGTGCAAGTTTTCAAAGATTTTTAGTTTTAGCTGTTAAGGAAAACTGGAGACGATGATGTGAATGATGCATTACTCTTTCTATTACCAGTGATGGATTTATTTATTTCTCCAGTTTTATGATGTAGGAATAATAGTTGAAAAATGGGGACTTCATCACTAAAACTAAAGGATTCAGATTTTTTAAATAACATTGAATCTGCATAATCATCCAATTAAGTTAAAAGATTTATACTCGGCAGTTTTGTTATAAATACCACTTCCCTTCACTTTTTTGCCACCTGATTTTTTCATTAATCATCTATCACTTTCTTCCATATTAACCATCAGATAATAATAATATATCTATAATCCATATACACATAACAATAGATCACTTTTTTTAATCAGTTAAATGTTTACTAAAGAAATTACAAATCAGGTGATCATAAAATTTGCGTGTCACTGCATAAAGAATGCCACCTGGGGAATTATGATAGGCTGATTGATGGATGTTGAAAAAAAAATGTGCAAGATCAAATAATATATATATATATAACTGTTAAGACCATATTTATCAATTTTTCAAAAATTAAAAAAAATTAAAAAATCAAAAAAAAAAAGGAACTTTAATTAACTTAGTAGCAAACATGTATCAACAGCAACAACAGCAACAACAAAGGCCGCCACCGCCACCACAACAACAGCAGCAACAGCAATCACAATTCTTTACTCCAGCAGTAGATCTAAGTTACCCTAATAGTATGCCACCACCACCATCAGCTCCGATAACTTCTTATGCACAACAACAACAACAGTATCCTCCACCACCACAACAATATCCACAATCACCACAACAGTATCCACAACCACCACCACAACAGTATCCACAGCAACATCCACAGCATTATCCACAGCAAAAACAATCACAACCACAACAATCGCCTCCTTTAATGCCAAGTTTAACGAATCAATTTGGAAATTTAAATGTAACTGGTCAAACTCAGGTAAAAAAATTTAACATTCTTTATTCAAATACAATTTAATTGATTATTATTTTTGATATAATTGCCAACTTTCTTACTGATAATTGAATCAAATTAGCAATACAATTTTATGTCTGTAAATTTGATTAATGCTCCTCCTATTGTTAAAGATTTGGAAGCACCACCACCACCAATTAATATGCCCTCCAATGTAAGTTATATGAATTTCTAGTTTAAGGTTTAAATAAATAAAAGAAAATCCCAAAATACAACCAACACTGGGCGATGTTGAACATCAATCATGTTCACCAACTTTTTCTAATTTAAAGAGTTCTGTCACTCAATCGGACAAAGCAAATTGTGACCCGTCTTATAAACGATCTACTCTTAATGCTGTTCCTGGTACAACTTCACTTCTCAACAAATCTCGATTACCATTTGGTCTCATTATTACTCCTTATAGAAGTTTGAAAGAGGGTGAAGTTAGTATATTTTTTCTTAAACATTAATTGATCTTGTTATTGATATTTATGCTTTGTAAAAAAAAATAAATTATTAAAAATAATCTTTTTGATTTTAGGAACCCGTTCCAGTTATAACAGATGCAGTTATCGCCAGATGTCGAAGATGTCGAACATATATAAATCCTTTTGTTTCCTTTACGGATGGTGGTCAAAAATGGGGATGTAACATGTGTTATTTATTAAATGAAGGTATAAAAAATTCTTTATTATGTTTTATTTTTAAGTAATAATCATATTATTATAATTACGATTATGATAATTTTTGTTTTTAAAAGTGCCTCCACAATTTGATTGGGATATTCAAACAAATCAACAGGCTGATCGATGGAAACGAGCAGAATTAAATCATGCAGTTGTTGAATTCGTTGCTCCAACAGAGTATATGGTAATATTAATTTGAAAAATAATATACTTGACAAAATATCCTCCTATAGTAATTGAATTCTTTCATTCGAAATATACATAGTAATTATCTATGAATCTTATAATTCATAAAATAAAGGTTCGTCCTCCACAGCCACCAGTTTATTTATTTGTGATTGATGTATCATTTCCTGCAATCCAGTCAGGTAAGCAGGAAAAAAATTGTATAACAATAATATCTATAAAAAATTTTTGTTTAATAAAAAATTTTTTAAAGGTGCTGTTGCAACTGCGGCAAGAACAATACTAGAATCTCTTGATCGAATACCAAATGAAGAAAATCGCACAAAGATTGGATTTATCACTGTTGATACTTCATTACACTTTTATAGTCTTAATGTATGGATTAATTGAGTTATATATCAAAATATGGTTTAATCCTATTTCACAATTAAATTATTTGAATTTTTCTTGCAGAGCAACGCATCTGAACCACAGATGCTTGTTGTTTCTGATCTCGAAGATATTTTTCTTCCTCGACCTGATGACTTGTTAGTAAATTTGAAAGAGTCACGAACAGTTGTTGAAGCTCTTCTTAGTAGACTTGGTGATACGTTCAAAGATACTCAAATAGTTAATAATGCTTTAGGATCAGCTTTGTTAGCTGCTTACAAGTTAATTGTACGTAATATATTATAATGTGTATATATGTTTATATATATAGTGAGTTATATGTGATCTGTTTCCTTTTTTAAAAAGCTTATTTTTTTTAAATATACATTTATTTTATTTTTGAATATTCTTTCACTTATTTAATTATTATTTAATACTTATTTAGTCACCAATTGGAGGAAAAATTGTAGTGTTGCAATCAAGTTTACCAAATATTAATCCGGGAGCATTAAAATCTCGTGAAGATCCAAAATCATTGGGTACACCAAAGGTAATTTTCAATAATAATGACAAAAATTCTTGAGTATTTTATTACTTGATATTTTTTATTAAAAATTTTCTATTATTTTATAGGAGTCAGCATTACTACAACCTGCTGATAATTTTTATAAAAAATTTGCAGTAGATTGTTCAAGGTCTCAAATTTGCGTTGAGATGTTTTTACTTGGTTCACAATATGCAGATGTTGCTACATTAGGTGAAATAAAATTTTTTTAAAAAAAATGTATATATCGTTTATATAAATAATTATTAATATTAAAAAAGAATATTCATTATTATTATTATTATTATTAAAGGATGTTGTCCGAGATTCACTGGAGGTCAAACATTTTTTTACCCGTCATTCAATGCAGGTAGAACCGAAGATGCACTTAAATTTGCACATGAATTTGCAGAATTTTTGGCTAGCCCGATTGCTCTTGAGGCTGTTATGCGCGTCCGAGCATCTAAAGGTAAAAAATAAATAAGTTATTAACGTTATATTTCCTTTAATTATTTAAATGCAATCTATTTTATTAATAATTTATTATTGAATAGGCATTCATATGACAGCTTTTCATGGTAATTTCTTCGTTCGCCAAACCGATTTACTATCTTTACCGAATGTACCAAGGGATTGTTCTTATGCAATTGAACTTGGCATTGAAGAAAATATAAGTTCTACAACAGTTTGTTTCCAGACTGCATTATTACATACAACTTGTTTTGGTAAGATTATTATTACATTTTATTTTTATTTTTATTTCTATTTTTGGAGGGTGTTATGAATAAAATGATTTTAATTGAGAAAATTTATTTCTGATAGGTGAAAGAAGAATTCGTGTTCTCACACTAGCATTACCTGTGACAAATAACGTAGGCGAACTTTTTTCTTCTGCTGATCAAGTTGCCATAGCAACACTATTAGCAAATAAGGGTATTTAATCCGTTGAATATTAAAAGGATTTTCATAAAACATTCGGGCTTTCATTATAGTATTCTAATCATTATTGTTATTTTATTATGGTAACATTGTTTATATGTATAGCTGTTGATCGTTCATTAACATCAAAATTGGAAGATGCCAGAGATGCATTAACAAACAAAATAATTGATATCCTTGGTGTATATAAATCATCTGTAACTGGATCCCAATTTGGAGCATCTCCACAATTACAAATTAGCCCTAATTTAAAACTATTACCATTATTAGCACTTGGATTACTTAAACATGTAGGTTCAAAACGATTATTATAATGGTAAAATAAATATAAATGAAATGATAATATTATAAATGTTTTGTTTTGTTATTATTATTATTGTTATTATTATTATAGATTTTTTTAAAATATATATAATATGATATTCAATCATTTTATTTTCTTTTAGGTTGGTCTTCGTGCAAGTTCACAAATACCAACAGATTTACGATCTTATGCTATGTGTTTATTGACCACGATGCCATCACAACTATTAATTCCATATTTGCATCCCAAGTTTTATTCACTACATAATATGCCACCAGAGGTATTATTGATTATTATATTATTTTAATGATACCTCTATTAATGAAATTTAGATTGCAATCAATGATTAATTATTCAACTGCTTATTAATATTAGGTTGGAACGTATGGGCCTGATGGAACTATTATTATGCCTGAGCCATTAAATTTGAGCAGTGAGAAAATAGAGCGTCATGGTGCATATTTATTAGAAGACGGCCAAAATATTTTTATTTGGCTAGGTAGACAAGTGGTACCTCAATTATGTGTGGATTTATTGAGTGTTAATTCATATGAAGAAGTTCGCACTGGAAAAGTAAAAATTTTATCTTTTTATTTTTAATTAAAGAAATCATAACAATCTTAATAATAATCTATTTATTATTAATATCATTTAGGCCACTTTACCATTAATTGATAATCCATTTTCACAAAGAGTAAACGCAATAATTGGTAAAACTCGAGAGTCACGCCGTGGAGTATATTACCCGCATCTTTATATAGTAAAGGAAGACGGAGAACCATCATTGAGGTTATGGTTTTTATCACATATTATAGAAGATCGTACAGATACAGTGATGAGTTATCCACAATGGTTGGCACATTTGAAGGATAAGGTAAGATTTTATATATACAGTTTTCATGCTTATATAAATATATTTCTTACAAACTAAAAATATTAATTGATGATTTCATATATTAGGTTAATAGTGGCTCATTTTAAGAAAACAACCGAGCAGTTACTGTAAAAGTGATTAAAAGATGATAGATAATTATCAAAAACATTCAATAATTTTTTGTTCTCAAACCAGAGAATGTATCATTAAATTCTGTTGATTATAAAAACTTTTATTATTATTAGACTGATCTTAATTTTCTTGAAAGACATTTTTAATTTTAAATTAATATTGAAAAAAAACTTGTGCGAATTAATAATATTTCATATAAATATCCTAAAATTATATATTATAATTTTTTTTATTGGTTAATATTGGTAATAATATTTATTTATTTTTTGACTATTTTCATGTTGGAATTTCAATTTCAGGGTTCAAAGTTCTAGTAACCAGCTTATTATTATTATTTGACACCACAAATTTGATAATAAAATTTATTGGTTGTGTAGATCCTTTAATTCCTTAAAACCATCCCCGTTTCCATTGAAAATCCTCACTTGTTAAAATATGACATCAAATGCTTGCCAAATAGCAATGATATTCTTTGGTGCCACGGGATTATAAAATCACATGACTCAGTCATTATGAGTTTGAGTATTCAAATTATATTGAAGGTATATCTAAATAAATTTTACTTGAATAAATGAATAAAGCAAATACATAATTCAAATAAATGAATAATGCAAGTAAAATGAATAATTCAAAAAAATATGATGATGGTTTTCTTATATTTGTTCTGGCCACGTTTTGGAAGATCTTTTACTAAATAGGAAAGAACACCCCGTGCCAAATTTCATTTTTGATAAAAAACTCTTTATTTCATTATTGTTGCTTAGGTTCTAAAGATCGCAAAAATCGAGAGTTTTTCCAATTTTATTATAAAAAAAAAAAAGCCTTGGCGGTTTGAAGTTGTACAATTTTTTTGATGTCTTTAGATGATGATGATGACCTGCACCATAATCGAAAATACTTTCGCGTGATATTTTCCACTTGTATCACAATGATTTTCTTAAATTTTATTGGCCAAAATTTGTGCACGTGATAATTTTAAACCAAAATTCGTCGTCCTCTTTAATACTCTCTGTGTCACTTTGATGGATTTTGCCGTCGTCCATTGTACCTTCATTTTGCACAAGTTTACTATTACAGGACTATTATTCCCATGTTAACCCAAAATTGGCAGTTTTTTTTAATTTTTTATGGTTGTATAGTGATTCTTAATCATTAAAATCACTGATCTTTCTTTTTATGTGTATATCTTAAATAATTAAATGTGACAAAGCCAGACAAAGTGAAATGAACATTACATACCTAAAATTTCAGGGATCAAATTTTTTTTTTTTAAGTCTGGTGAAATTTTTCCTTCATTATAGAACTTACAGCCAGCTAGTTCTATGATATAAATCAAAAAATTGATGAATTGGTTAGTATAATAAAGCCTGGAAAGATTAAATTAAAAAATAAAATAAAATAATTAATTATTGATGAAAAGTACTTTGGAGGACATAAACAATTATTCAATAAGAAAATTTGAGCAGGACATACATAGTTTTTCATTTCTTATCTTTTTTTGTTGTTATTTAATCCATTCCTTTAATGTGAATGCATTTGTCTCCATAAATTGTATATGTCTGTTACAATATTCATGATGACTATGTATTATTATTATTGAATATATTCCTTTTTACAAAGGATTAATAAATAAATTGCATCACCCAAATAATGATAATACCAGAAAATTATTTCATTAGAGGGTGGCATGAGTAGAAAATATATATTTTTTTTATTTTACATATAATTATATAGTTTACCTGAAAATTATTATGTAAATAATTTTTTGTGCAATTTGTAAAGCTTATTTTTATTACGGTGCAGATCATCTACAATCATTAATTGCTTATAGTAACAATTGGTCAACTTCAAAATACTAAAACAAAAAAAAATTATATCATTTTAAAAAA